ACTCACACTCTCTCTCACACTCACACTCTCTCTCACACTCACACTCTCTCTCACACTCACACTCTCTCTCACACTCACACTCTCTCTCACACTCACACTCTCTCTCACACTCACACTCTCTCTCACACTCACACTCTCTCTCACACTCACACTCTCTCTCACACTCACACTCTCTCTCACACTCACACTCTCTCTCACACTCACACTCTCTCTCACACTCACACTCTCTCTCACACTCACACTCTCTCTCACACTCACACTCTCTCTCACACTCACACTCTCTCTCACACTCACACTCTCTCTCACACTCACACTCTCTCTCACACTCACACTCTCTCTCACACTCACACTCTCTCTCACACTCACACTCTCTCTCACACTCACACTCTCTCTCACACTCACACTCTCTCTCACACTCACACTCTCTCTCACACTCACACTCTCTCTCACACTCACACTCTCTCTCACACTCACACTCTCTCTCACACTCACACTCTCTCTCACACTCACACTCTCTCTCACACTCACACTCTCTCTCACACTCACACTCTCTCTCACACTCACACTCTCTCTCACACTCACACTCTCTCTCACACTCACACTCTCTCTCACACTCACACTCTCTCTCACACTCACACTCTCTCTCACACTCACACTCTCTCTCACACTCACACTCTCTCTCACACTCACACTCTCTCTCACACTCACACTCTCTCTCACACTCACACTCTCTCTCACACACACATGCGCACTCACACACACACACACACACACACACAGACAGGGTCTATCTGGCTTTAACATGTAGTGAGATGCAGTGTGCAAACCGCAGCCGGTCTGAGAGCGTCTGAAAGCTGATATGAGTCGAGGCCGTGACACAGACACACGAGAGAGACGCTCCAGCAGGGTGTTTCCGCTCACCGTTACACAGACGAGATCCACGTGGACGACTCTTGTGTTGTGTTTTCAGTGTTGCAGTGAGCCGAGCGCCATGAAGCCGCTGCGCTTCTCGCTGTAAGTGTGTTCACACGCCGTGGGGGAAGGGCATGAGTGTGTGTGAGTGTGTGTAAGGTTCCGCTCACCGTTACACAGACGAGATCCACGTGGACGACTCTTGTGTGTGAGTGTGAGTGAGTGTGTGTGTCTGTGTGTGAGTGAGAGTGTGTGTGAGTGAGAGTGAGAGTGTGTGTGAGTGAGAGTGAGAGTGTGTGTGAGTGAGAGTGAGAGTGTGTGTGAGTGAGAGTGAGAGTGTGTGTGAGTGAGAGTGAGAGTGTGTGTGAGTGAGAGTGAGAGTGTGTGTGAGTGAGAGTGAGAGTGTGTGTGAGTGAGAGTGAGAGTGTGTGTGAGTGAGAGTGAGAGTGTGTGTGAGTGAGAGTGAGAGTGTGTGTGAGTGAGAGTGAGAGTGTGTGTGAGTGAGAGTGAGAGTGTGTGTGAGTGAGAGTGAGAGTGTGTGTGAGTGAGAGTGAGAGTGTGTGTGAGTGAGAGTGAGAGTGTGTGTGAGTGAGAGTGAGAGTGTGTGTGAGTGAGAGTGAGAGTGTGTGTGAGTGAGAGTGAGAGTGTGTGTGAGTGAGAGTGAGAGTGTGTGTGAGTGAGAGTGAGAGTGTGTGTGAGTGAGAGTGAGAGTGTGTGTGAGTGAGAGTGAGAGTGTGTGTGAGTGAGAGTGAGAGTGTGTGTGAGTGAGAGTGAGAGTGTGTGTGAGTGAGAGTGAGAGTGTGTGTGAGTGAGAGTGAGAGTGTGTGTGAGTGAGAGTGAGAGTGTGTGTGAGTGAGAGTGTGTCTGTGTGTGAGTGAGTGAGCGGGAGAGTGTGAGTGTGTGTGAGAGTGTGTCTGTGTGTGAGTGAGCGTGAGAGTGTGTGTGTGTGTGTGTGTGTGTGAGAGAGTGTGTGTGTGTGTGTGTGTGTGTGAGTGAGAGTGTGTGTGTGTGTGTGAGTGAGAGAGAGAGAGTGTGTGTGTGTGTGTGTGTGTGTGAGTGAGAGTGTGTGTGTGTGTGTGAGTGAGAGAGAGAGAGTGTGTGTGTGTGTGTGTGTGTGTGAGTGAGAGTGTGTGTGTGTGTGTGAGTGAGAGAGAGAGAGTGTGTGTGTGTGTGTGTGTGTGTGAGTGAGAGTGTGTGTGTGTGTGTGAGTGAGAGAGAGAGAGTGTGTGTGTGTGTGTGTGTGTGTGAGTGAGAGTGTGTGTGTGTGTGTGAGTGAGAGAGAGAGAGTGTGTGTGTGTGTGTGTGTGTGTGAGTGAGAGTGTGTGTGTGTGTGTGAGTGAGAGAGAGAGAGTGTGTGTGTGTGTGTGTGTGTGTGAGTGAGAGTGTGTGTGTGTGTGTGAGAGAGAGAGAGAGAGTGTGTGTGTGTTTTCTCAGTTTTGACTCATCTCTGACTCATGCAGTGTCTGTTGCTGCTGCGACTGGTTTTTCTGCAGATTCTCACCTCATCGCTCTGAGCCTTCACCGGCTGCTCTTCTGCTACCGTCGCAGTTTTGCAGCTTGGCAATTTAAAAAACACGAGTTTAATGGTTCATATGCTGCTGTTCAGACTGTTCAGATTCCTGCTTTAATATTTTCATTCTCAAAGGGCTTGTTTACATGCATTAACAAACGTTTACACTCATGAAATGTAAACACTTATTGGCAGCAGATGTCATGTTCATATTAAATACCACCCATAAAACTCCATTAACAATGAAACAAATACAATTGGTTAAATTATTATAATTCACTGTCATTTGATGTTTTTAAGAATATTTAAAAACATTAATACTGAACTGTTTTATTCAGAATAAATCACATTTCCTTCCTTTTAATTTTGTAGAATGTTTATTTTTATTTCTTCTCCTGGTGCAGTTTGTCTTGTCTGCTTATTATATTGCATTTTTAAGGGCCATGTTTTGAGAAAACATCTTTTGTAAGTCACTTTGGATAAAAGTGTCTGCAAAATAAATAGGATACAGGTTTATTTACGTGAGGTTTAAAGGTCGTACCGTGAATTTTGGCACGTTTCCACACGCCAGGGTTTGGATCGCCAGTTTGGAGGCAGACATGTGCCAAAGACGCGCTTGTTTTTGCAGACGTTACGGACGAAACACCGTGATTCCAGTCGAATAAAACACATGTATGGGAATATTAAACTGAAGCTTATATAATTGATAGTTTTATAAGGTTGTAAGAAAATGTTGTTAAATTATATTGATTTCTCATGATATTGTTAATACAATACTGTAACAATGAAACCAGGGTTATTGTAGTTTAACTAACTAACTAATATATATATATATATATCTTAAACAGTTTTTGTTACTTGAAATAAAATAAATGCTAAATTAAGTAAAATAATTATAAAAAATCATTCCAAAACAACATTTCTCATTTTAATTTAGTTTAACTTGATTTATTGAAACAACTAAAACTGAAATTGAAATGAATAAAAACTATATAGACATTTAAAAAAAATGTGTAAATGTGTAACTAGAATACACAAATTAAAACGAACTAATTCAAAATATTTGAAATAAAACTATAATAGTATCTTAATGATACTAAAATAACGCTGATTGAAATGTGCTTTTTCTGTGAAGCTACTTTGTAACCGCATGTGTTGTGAAAAGTGCGATACAAATAAAACTTGAATTATTATTATTTCAATGTCTCCATGAAAACAGGCTTTGCTGCTGATACGGCGTTACATAATGACGAGTAAGTCCGTGCAGACGTGTCACTGCGGGTTAACTAGTCCTGCTGAAGTCTGGTTTGCTGCGGTCAGTCCAAGGGTCAGCGCTTTATCTGAGCTGATTAGTGCTTTAGTCTCAGGCTGGAAAAGCTTCAAATCAACAAGAAACCACATTCACAACATGCTCCACTTCTGAAATATGACCGCTCTCTGAGAGAAGCTGCAGGATGGGACTTGAGTTCCTCTCTGATCAATTGATTGGACGGTGAAAATGTCTCTGTGTGAAGGTGGTTCAAAATAAGATCAGGAACATGCATTAAGACTTCATGTGTGTTTTTATTTCTGTTCTTCAGCAGCTGTGACCGCAGTCGTGTTATAACGTCCAAAACTAACCTCTTAATAGCATCACTGCTCAAAGTTTAGAGTCAGTATGATTTTTAATTTTTTTGGGAAAATAAATTATTTTATTCACCGAGGATGCATTAAATTGATCAGAAGTGACAGTAAAGACATTTAGAATGTTACAAAATAATAAATGCTGTTCTTTTGAACTTTCTGATCATCTGTGAATCCTGAAAAATAAAATGCATCACAGTTTCTACAAAAATATTGTGCAGCACGACTGTTTTCAACATTGATAATAATCAGAAATGTTTCTCGAGCAGCAGATCAGCATATTATACTGATTTCTGAAGATCATGTGACACTGAAGACTGGAGGAATGATGCTGAAAATACAGCTGCGCATCACAGAAATACATTACAGTTTAACAGATATTCACACAGAAAACAGTTTACAGTTACAATTTTTAAATTGTAAAAATAAAAACACACTCACACTCTCTCACACACACACACACACACACACACACACACACTCACACTCACACTCACACTCACACACACACACACACACGTACACACAGAAGAGACCATTTCATAAAATCGTACCAACCCCAAACTTTTGAACAGTACTGTAGTTTCTGTCTGTCGTTAATTTCTGTATCTGATCTTCTCGAGCATCAAGGTCATGGCTTTGATTCACGTGAACTAATAAACCTTGTTTCAACTTCAATAAAAGAACGTAAATAATGCTTGTAAATGATGACACTGAAGCCTGGAAAAAATTCAGTTTGCATCACAGGAATAAATTGTATTTTAACATATATTCACATAGAAAACAGCTATTTTAAATTGCAATATCCTTGTTTTTACTGTATTTTTAATCAAATAAATGCAGCCAGAAGTCTTCTTTCTGTTAGTGCAAAACTCACCGCCATGATTAAGTCAGAAGTGTTTAGAGAATAGACTAGGTTGAGTCAGTCGGTGTGTTGATGTGTGTTTTGCTCCAGTCCCACAGGAAAGAAGTTCCGCAGTAAACCTCAGTTATCCCGCTACCTCGGGAACTCGGTGGATCTGGGATGTTTCGACTTCCGCACGGGCAAAATAATGCCCAGCAAGATGCAGAAGAACAAGCAGAGACTGCGCAGCGACAACCTCAGCCTGAGCAAGGTACTGAACGCCACACATCTCACGGGTCGTTTTAGTTTGTTCATTGGGTTTGGAAATCCCTGTGTGACGGTATTTTGATTAGTCATTTTCTGCAGTGAAATTGATTGGTAATAAACAGTAGTATTTAAAGGAATATTTCACCCAAAAATGAACATTCTGTAGTCATGTACTCATCCTCATGTCGGTCCAAACATGAAAATGAAATATTGAAATAATCAAATCTGAGAGATTCCTGTCCCTCCATTGAAAGTTTGTTCACCCAAAACTGTTGCTTCAAAACGTTAGTAAGAGATCAAAAATAAATCCATATGAATTGAGCCATTTAATCAAAGTCCTCTAAAGAGACATGATTGCTTTATATAATTCAGGCTTTATTCACATATAAACTTTGATCGTCAAACATAAACAAAAGCTTATACATATGATGTGACACGGGAGAATGAACCTCACTGGTTCTCGTGCATCATGCAAACATGCTTGAGCTTCCGTGACCGTATTTGTGTGCTGTAAACAGTGTTAGCTGATCAGTGTTTATATGCAAATAAAAGCCTAAATTACACCTGTTCATGATCTCTTTAACTCTTTTAGTTTTGGGTGAACAGACTTTTAAGGACAGAGTGGAGTTGCATGGAGATCAGTGGAGGGTTGTGTAGAGATGCGTGGAGATTGTGTGGAGAGAATTTTAACTGTGGTAATTGTAATTATTGTATAAATATGGTCTGGACTAATTCATTTGAGGACAAAAGACGCAAGAAGAAATTTGAGATCACAGACTTTATTAATTGCATTTCCACCCGTGTCATTTACAGATTGGAATGTCCGTGTAATCGTTTCTATGTGGGACTCACCAAGAGGAGGTTACGTGACAGAGTGGCTGAACATAGATGCACAATATGTACTGGTAACAAGAATTATCCGATGCGGGGAGATGTGTGAGTTGCATAGAGAGATGTGTAGAGTTGCGTGGAGATGCGAAGAGTTGTGTAGAGTTGCGGAAAGATGTGTGAAGTTTCGTGGAGGTGCGTGGATAGTTGTGTAGAGATAGGGTTGCAAAGAGGTGGAAAATTTCGAGTAAATTTCCGGAAAGTTTCCAAAAATCCCTGGAATATTCCCAAAAAATCCTGGAAAGTTTCCAAAATTTCTTGAATATTTCCGAAATATACTGTACATTTTCCACCTTTTTGCAACCCTATGTAGAGATGAGTGGAGATGCGAAGAGTTGCAGGGAGATGTGTGTAGAGTTGTGTAGAGATGCATTGAGATGCGAAGAGTTGTGTGAAGATGCGAAGAGTTGCATGGGGAGCTACATGGAAATGCGAAGAGTTGTGTGGAGATGTAAAGAATTGTGTAGAGTTGTGTGGAGATGTGAAGAGTTGTGTAGAGTTATGTGGAGTTGTGTAGAGTTGTGTGGAGATGTGAAGAGCTGCGTGGATATGTGAAGAGTTGTGTAGAGTTATGTGGAGTTGTGTAGAGTTGTGTGGAGTTACAAAGAAATGGGTAGAGTTGCGTGGAGATGCAAATATTTGCATGGGGAGCTGCGTGGAGATGCGAAGTGTTGTGTAGGGATGCGTGGAGATGTGAAGAGTTGTGTGGAGATTGAAAAAGATGCGTGGAAATGAGTAGAGTTGTGCAGAGTTGCGTGGAGATGCGAAAAGTTGCATGGGGAGTTGCGTGGATATATGAAGAGTTGCATGGAGATGCGTAGAGTTGTGTAGAGATGTGTGTTGTCAAGCGGATTGTAGTCCATCTCAAATGTGTTTCAGAGGGCATTCACACCCGATCTTTTCATGATTAAATGACTATTCAATTTGAACTATTAAAAAAAAAGAGCGGCTCAGTGTAAATAGGCACAGTGATCGTCCATAAAATGCATTGCTGTTCTGTTGTAAGTAATCTTAAAGATTCCTAAATGCATCTACTTCCGGAAGGCCAAATAAAGTGCTTTTGCTTTCGCCTAGAAACACACAGCGTCTCCCTGACATGCTGCTTCAACACTAACTGCGGTTACTGAAACCACGCCTTCTTTCTCTGCGTGCACATTTGGGCGCATTATGCAAATATTTCCACATAGTGAGGTAGATATGTGGGGGGCGTGTTAGAACGAGCCGTTTTAGGGGGGCGTGGCAGAGTTTTAACTTTGATAAAGAATATCTCTTTGGTTTTGAGACTTTAGTCTTTGCAACTTCAGGGATCTTATCTATGCACAATCAGCTTGTAACACTCCAAAGAGAAAGGAAAACTTGAAATCGCATCATATGACCCCTTTAAATAAGGAAGTTATTTTTTTCAAAACATTTTGCATGCTGATCCTGTAAAGCGCGTCATTGCGTAGGCTGTTAGTGTGTCTGTGCGCTTCCTCATGCATTTCTCTCAGGACTCTGATATGATCTCAACATTCAACATGCTTTCATTTTCAGTTCAGCAGACTCTCTATACAGGTATTCTTCATTTGCTCGTGATGAGATGGTTGAAAGTGAAAGGATGAGGCAGGAAAGGTTTGGCTCTGATCTCTGAGATCATTCATTTATGAGTGTTTGTGTAAACGTGTGTCTGTGTTCGTAGGGAAAGCTGGATCTGAGCACGGCGCTGCCCATCAGACAAACAGCCTCCATCTTCAAACAGCCGGTCACTAAAGTGGTCAATCATCCCAACAACAAAGTCAAGACAGACCTCCAGAGAGCCACGGAGCAGCCGCGACAGGTGCCGTCATCACATATTCACACTCACTTCTTCACAATCTGTTAGGCCTGTTTCACTGCGCACGCGTCAGAGTGTTCACACTGGAAGCGTTTAACAGCGTTAAAGATTTCTTTAAAGACAAACATAAACTTGAAAGTTTTAAAGTCTTGAAAGGTTGTTAACACGGGGATTCACATGTAAAATCACAGCTCCGATCATGTCTCTTCAGTCATACTTCAATATAGAACATGCTGTTTTTCATGGGTTTTTTAATTATTACACCATACATTCCATACATTTTTAGCATTTTTTTGTGTGAAATCATATTTACGTGTGCCGTCACTTTAATCAAACTTTAATCACACTTGCGGTGTGAAACCGGCCTTATTCTAGTCATTCAGATGTTACACTGGCTTTTACCTTTAGAGTTTTTAAATGAGTAATTTTGTTATGCACTTTGGTCGTTTTTGTTTGTTTTTAAATATTTATGTTTAGCTTCACTTTTAGTAATTTTAGTACTTCAGCTTAAACTTACTTTACTTCAGTTCCAAGACAACATTTCACATTTAAAAGTTTTTTAAGGTTTGATTTTTCTTCTAATTTTTAATTCCATTCCATTCCATTCTATTCTATTCCATTCTATTTCATTCCATTCTATTCCATTCCATTCCATTCCATTCTATTCTATTTCATTCCATTCCATTCCATTCTATTCCATTCTATTTCATTCCATTCTATTCCATTCCATCCTAGTACTGAGCCTTGAGGTACTCCATACTGCACTTGTGATCGATATGATACCTCTTCATTCACTGCTACGAATTGATGACGATCAGATGAGTACGATTAGAACCATGCTAATGCACTTCCACTAATGCCAACAAAGTTTTCTAGTCTATTCAAAAGAATGTTGTGGTCAATAGTGTCGAACGCAGCGCTAAGATCCAGTAGCACTAATAGAGAGATACAACCACGATCAGATGATAAGAGCAGGTCATTTGTAACTCTAATGAGAGCAGTCTCTGTACTATTGTACATATTATTTCCTAAAAATGTACTAAAATAATCAGCAACAGAACGTATGATTGATAACTTGATAATACTTTATTAATTACTTAATTTATTCATTCATTCATTATTTTAATGAACTGTATTTATTATTATTTATGATTATGATTACGTTATGATTATTTAGAATTTTATTTTAATGAATTTTATTTATATTATTGTCATACATTTTATTTATGTTTATTTTTATAGTTTTAATTAATTTTTATTTATTTATTTATTAATCACACATTTGGATCCTGATGTACGCGTGTTCAAAAATGACAAAAATTATGTGTATTTGTGGAAACATTTGCCTTATTTTATATTCAACAGCCGTGAAATATGTAAATGCATCGTTTTCTTCCTTGTTCACTAATGGGAAACTGTATGCTTCTTTCTTTTCTTTTCTAAAACCAGTTCTTATTAATTGACGTGACATTTACACAACATAACTTTGTTTTATTTCAGCTGAACTGTCAAACTGAATTCTGCTCACCGTTCTCTTCTCGGCTGAGTGTGTAAACGTGTGTCTGTGTTCGTAGGGAAAGCTGGATCTGAGCACGGCGCTGCCCATCAGACAAACAGCCTCCATCTTCAAACAGCCGGTCACTAAAGTGGTCAATCATCCCAACAACAAAGTCAAGACAGACCTCCAGAGAGCCACGGAGCAGCCGCGACAGGTGCCGTCATCACATATTCACACTCACTTCTTCACAATCTGTTAGGCCTGTTTCACTGCGCACGCGTCAGAGTGTTCACACTGGAAGCGTTTAACAGCGTTAAAGATTTCTTTAAAGACAAACATAAACTTGAAAGTTTTAAAGTCTTGAAAGGTTGTTAACACGGGGATTCACATGTAAAATCACAGCTCCGATCATGTCTCTTCAGTCATACTTCAATATAGAACATGCTGTTTTTCATGGGTTTTTTAATTATTACACCATACATTCCATACATTTTTAGCATTTTTTTGTGTGAAATCATATTTACGTGTGCCGTCACTTTAATCAAACTTTAATCACACTTGCGGTGTGAAACCGGCCTTATTCTAGTCATTCAGATGTTACACTGGCTTTTACCTTTAGAGTTTTTAAATGAGTAATTTTGTTATGCACTTTGGTCGTTTTTGTTTGTTTTTAAATATTTATGTTTAGCTTCACTTTTAGTAATTTTAGTACTTCAGCTTAAACTTACTTTACTTCAGTTCCAAGACAACATTTCACATTTAAAAGTTTTTTAAGGTTTGATTTTTCTTCTAATTTTTAATTCCATTCCATTCCATTCTATTCTATTCCATTCTATTTCATTCCATTCTATTCCATTCCATTCCATTCCATTCTATTCTATTTCATTCCATTCCATTCCATTCTATTCCATTCTATTTCATTCCATTCTATTCCATTCCATTCTATTCTATTCTATTTTATTTCATTCCATTCCATTCCATTCCATTCTATTCTATTCCATTCTATTTCATTCCATTCCATTCTATTCTATTCTATTCTATTCTATTTTATTTTCAGTTAACAAAAACTATTTGTAATAGGTTTAATTTTAACTAACAACTGATCACTTCAGCTCCATCAAATTGACGTTTCTTTGTGAAATTGAAATATAACTATAATAATATACTAATATAGCACTTGTATATTATTGCTCTTTTTTTGGTTTTGATTGCTTCTATTGTCTTCATTTGTTAGTCACTTTGGATAAAATTGTTTGCTAAATAACAATTTAAATATGATGTAAATGTAAAAAACTAAACTAAATAGAAATTTTAAAACAAGCCCCAAATCAAATAAGTGACAAATAAAATAAATCTCCATGCATTTATGAAGTTATTTCATGATTTATTTTTTGGGTCTATGTAAATGATTTATTTTTAAATATTTCTATATTTATTTAGGCATTCATGAATTTATTTATTTGTGCATTAATTAATTTCTTTATGCATTTATGATTTTTTTTTATGTATTAATTTTATTTAATTTATTTTTAGCCATTTCTTGTTAACTGACATCTTGTTAACTTTCATTATCATCACAACTACAGTAAAGTTTTTATTACTTTTTAAAGAAGTCTCTTCTGCTCATCAAGACTGCATTTATTTGATCAGAAATACAGAAAAAGCAGTAATATTATGAAATATTATTAGAATGTAAAACAGCTGTTTTCTATGTGAGTATCTGTTAAACTGTAATGTATTTCTGTGATGCGCAGCTGTATTTTCAGCATCATTCCTCCAGTCTTCAGTGTCACATGATCTTCAGAAATCACTATAATATGTTGATTTATTATCAATGTTAGTAATTTTTTATTCATCAAAGAATCTTGAAAAAGTATCACAGGTTCCAAAAAAAAAAATGAAGCAGCAAAACTGTTTCTAACACTGATAATAAATCAGCATATCACAGAAATACATTACAGTTTAACAGATATTCACACAGAAAACAGCTGTTTTAGATTCTAATAATATTTCACAATTTTTACTGGTGAGCCGAAGACCCTTCTGTCAGAAAGATCAGTAGTTTATGCCTGTCATTAGTTTCTGTATCTGATCAGCAGACAATGCATTTCCGGAACAGAACGTCAGTTTAACAACATAAATTATTAAATACATTATTTGTTTGTGCTGCAAATCTCATAATGTGTTTGATGCAAAACTAGATCAAATGGGGAAAACATTGTAACTCCGTAGTTTCATGCTCTCTCAAGTGAAGCAAAGGTAGAAAGTCCACCGAAAACATCATTCTTACATTTTTGGCTTCGACGATATATGTTGACGATATACGTTATTCGGCAACATGCAATAAAGTGATCAAATTTAAAATGTCTATATAAAATATTTAAATGTTTATATCAAATTTTAATAAAAAATATGGAAGATTGTATTGTGTTGTGTTGCTGAAAGTCCTTGATTTTATCACGTTGCAGCGTTTTACTTGCCAATATTTAAAATATATAATTATTTTTGGTATTTACGGATGTTGAATCAAACACCTAGGCTGTGCTAAAGTAACTCGCCAGTTAACGTTAACTCGCAACATAGCCTAGTTTAGTTTGCGTGAATTTTCTTAACGTACCTTTATCTTGCTTTTTCTTCTCTTCCTCTGTTTTTTTCTCTGCACCAGAAGGATCTGTCCGTCTTTGTGACTCTTTAATCAACTTCAGTAATCACTTTCTGGCTCTGCTTGCATCCTGCAGCCAGGGCTTATTTTCATTTCATACTGCATTTTTAATAATTCCCATTGTCTGCTGACTAGGCATGTAACGATTCACTCAACTCACGATTCTATTCGATTCACGATTAGTTTTTTTTACAAAATGAGATTTAAGACAAATTA